TGTAAGCGCGACGGTGACTTCCGAACGCTCTTACGTCAGCGCCAGCCAGACAAACGAAACTTTATCCATGCAGGGAAGTGAACTTTGGTAGTCTGACGATTTATTGGTAACACAGGCACTGGTAAGAACACAAAATACTCGGAATGAACCCAAAAACCCAGCGGATGGCTCGTAATGAATATATTGTTCGTGGTAGTGAACTAATAGGATTCTGCAACAAAAATAATAAATAAACTTAAGATATGGCTATAATACTTAACTTGAAATATTCCTAACAAAATAATTACAATTCATAAATATTACAGCACAAATTTAGATCTCACAATATAACTATTCACAAATTAAGATCTCACAATGTAACTATTCACAAATATCACGCACAAATTTACATGAAACAATATAACCACTTTTCACAAAAATTCACTAACAGTGAAGCGCAAAGTGCTTCACGACTGATAGAATGAAAGTGACGCGCTTCGGATGATCAAGGTGAACAGACTTTTTCTCTAAATGAAAATACTAGTAAAATCGATAGACAAAAACATTAATGGAAAAATGGTACAAATTTAGCAGAACAAATACAAGAATAACTGTTGAATGATCGCAAAAAATTATAAGGAAAATCGCGGTACAAAAATTAAAGACGCATGAGGCCCGGCTACAACATTGCTTGAATCATTCATCATACAACACCAAATTTTTATATGCAGTATTAGATGTTTCATGTTATAAGCTGAAACTCTTATTGAAAAAGTCGACTCGTCCGAATCCAAGACACGAGTGATGTAATAAATCAGGCTGTTACATAATAATATATTAAAAAGAACGATTCCATAACGCGAATATATGCCGCGGCTTCTAATTAAAATTTGAAACGCGAGCCACGGTGCGCAAATATTAAAACATTTCTTTTTGTGATTTGTGACGAGGAGGAAGAGAATCGTGATGGCCTTGGTCGAGCGTGCAAAAGTCTAGTATTTTGGTTGGTGAAGCAAAATGGCATCTAGGAGCTAACAAAAATTTCCTGCATATATATAATTTTGTTGTAATGAAAAAAAACGAAGGTTATAAATCTCATGAACGATTTGAAAATACTTGAGCACGTAAGCTCTACGATTTTCGTCCTAGTTGTTTATTATAACATCATTCTAATTGAAATATCGTCAAATTTACTTTTCTCAGAAAATCCACTTTTTGCCTCATTTAGCTTATATCATAACATCCTTAAGGTACATAATTTAAAAACTGTCTTAAAAGAATGAGCTGTGAATTTTAAGATTTTCAAGTCACGGAAGATAGTCTGGGTTCATCATGTAGCACGTATATCTTGTGAAGTTGATAAAACAAAGTTACAAGATGAACTTTTGATTAAAACTTATGTTTTCCAATACTATATTCTCTAAAGTTTTGATTTACACTTCGAAGACGAGAAGTTCAAAGGTTGAAGGTCAAGAAAAATGTGTTGCGGCAAGACGCGTTTTTCTTAGATTTTCTGAGAGGCAAAGCTACGTAGTTTACAAATTTATTTTCGCATTATGAACTATTTTATCTGTAAATACTCGACCGTGCCATCAGCTTCGGCGCATCAGCCTGATCCTGGTACTGAAGTGCTCTCCGTTTGAAGCAAATGTTTTACTTTGTCCGACAACGGCAGTTTGAGCGTGAAAATTTTTCACTGCTTTTTGAGGTGTAAATCTTTTTACTTACTAGTAAAAATTCTATTTATGTTGTGAAAACAAATAGGAACAAACTTTCTTGTAATGAAGGACTTTTAGGGTTCAATGTTTCTCAAGCGATTAAATTTAAATAGGCAACCTCATACCCATGATCACCAACCTGAGTTCAAAGCGATAATTTCATAGTTGTTTTTTTTTTTCGTAATGTTTGATCTAATCCCTTCCTGTTCTTTTTACTAACAGAAAACATGGGAAAAGTCCGGGGAATTGTCACGCGCGATATCAGATCTCATTAATCATTTCTTAGTTCGCATAGTGAAATCTTATCTTCGCTTGTATTTTATGAGCCGTATAACTGCTCATGAGAAGTGTTTTAATTTATGAGCCATGTAACTGTTCATGAAAAAGCTTGTAATTTAAGAGCCGTGTAACCGCTCATGAAAAAAGCTTTCAATTTATGAGCCCTGTAAATGCTCATGAAAAAAGCTTTCAATTTATGAGCCCTGTAAATGCTCATGAAAAAAGCTTGTAATTTATGAGCCGGTTAACTGGTCATGAAAAAAGCTTATAATTTGCCGTCGATGAACGGCGTTAGCAGCGATAGGCTTTTGGCTCAGCGTTAGCCGTCGTAAATAAGTCGTAAAGCTGCGGTAACCTTAGGTCAGATACACAAAATTCCTATCATGGTCGTAACATATACAAGAGTCGTAAGTGCTTGTTTCATGTTAGCAGTTGGAAAGAAGGGAATTCACCGAATTAATGTATCAGAAGGCCCTAGAGAATAATAAACACTGAATTAATTCTTATCAGTAATTTATGCATCATAGGCTTTTCCATCGACGATATCAAACTATATTTATCCATTTTTTTCGGTACAATTCCTAGTTTTGTTAAGATAATTTTATTCGTCATCGTTTATGCCTCCTTCATCAGCAACCAAAATTTTTTCATATTTTGTTACAGATCCGCATATCAATTCATGAAAAATTTTAGATTCTCACTAGAGGATCATGAGGTCACAAGACGATCAATAGGAGATCACTAGGAGATCACTAGGAGATCACTAGGAGATCACTCGGAGATCACTAGGAGATCACTCGGAGATCACTAGGAGATCACTCGGAGATCACTAGGAGATCACTAGGAGATCGCTAGGAGATCAGTGGGAGATCGCTAGGAGATCAGTGGGAGATCAGTGGGAGATCACTAGGAGATCACTAGGAGATCACTAAGAGATCACTAGGAGATCACTAGGAGATCACTATGAGATCACTAGAAGATCTCTAGGAGATCGCTAGGAGATCAGTGGGAGATCACTTGGAGATCATTAGGAGATCATTAGATCACTAGGAGATCGCTAGGAGATCACTAGGGAGATCACTAGGAGATCACTAGGAGATCCGTAGATCACTAGGAGATAACTAGGAGATCGATAGGAGATCTCTAGGAGATCACTAGGAGATCTCTAGGTTATCGCTAGGAGATCACTAGAAGATCACTAGGAGATCTCTAGGATATCGCTAGGAGATCACTAGGAGATCAATAGGAGATCACTAGGAGATCATTAGGAGATCACTAGGGGATCACTAGGAGATTACTAGCACTAGATCACTAGCAAGCGCAGCTACCCAAACCAATTCGAATGCAAACGTGCAACAAGAGTTAAAAATAATTGATGGTGTCGACAAGCAATCGTTCCAGCAGCGAAGTAAATGGAATATATTGATATTGTTCAATTGATATATTGATTGAAAGTAATTGGAAGATGTCCTTCAAAACTAAAATCTGTTGACCATCGTTGTCGGCGAGCGATTATAGCGAAGACGTTGTTGTTGTACACAGCGACCCCGCGGATAAAGAACTGAGCTGTCAAACAGCAGGACACGCTGCCTTAAAAACACCGTCGTGTTTTTGCTTGAGATGAACAAGGTCACTGCAGTATAAATTACTAATACAGTATAGAATTTCATTAAACAATTGTTGAAAATATTATGTAATTATGTATAAACAAAGTTTTGAAAATATTTTGCACGTCTGAAGTTAGTTATCTTAATTCCGAAACTTTTTCACTTTCACAACAAATTCTGCTAGGACTTTTTACGAAACCAATGAAAATTTAAGCCCAAGGAAAACTTTAGATGAAGCAAGTTATTTTTAGTGCGGATACCAGACAGGAAATTTTCGAGTTGATGAAACACGACCGAGCGCGCGTTTGTTCCAGGAATTCATTATCTGGTTTATTAATTAGCACAGCGGCTAGTGGAGCCTGTCTAATTAGCACGGCGACGAGTGGAGCCTGTCTAATTAGCACGGCGGCGAGTGGAGCCTGTCTAATTAGCACGGCGGCGAGTGAGCCTGTCTAATTAGCACGGCGGCGAGTGAGCCTGTCTAATTAGCACGGCGGCGAGTGGTGTCTGTCTAATTAGCACGGCGGCGAGTGAGCCTATCTAATTAGCATGGCGGCGAGTGGTGTCTGTCTAATTAGCACGGCGGCAGCAAGTGGAGCCTGTCTAATTAGCACGGCGGCGAGTGAGCCTGTCTAATTAGCACGGCGGCAAGTGAGCCTGTCTAATTAGCACGGCGGCGAGTGGTGACTGTCTAATCACACGTGATTAGCTTTGGAATAAATTAAGCATCAAGTTCAAAATAAAGATTTGGGAAAAGTCATAGATAAATATCAAAATGATCGGGTTCCACAATTATTTCGACTGATTGGCTTATCTGAGGTTCTCATATGCCATTGTTTCTAAAATTCTAACATCAGCATATTTATTATATGAAATTGAATCTGCTTGTTGAGCGAAAATTTAAGAAGAAATTTTACAATAATGGAAGGTAAATGCCAAGAAGATAAATGTAAAAGCTTTAGGGAAATATTGAACGGATGCTTTAAAATCTCTTTCAATACTTGAGCTTTCAATATTCCTAATTTCTAATTACCAGATTGCATATCAAATTAAATTTGCATATACTGGAATTCATTTACGTACGTAGGAAATATTCAATATATTTTTCCAGTTTTTCCCGGATTCAAAGTTCTTATTGCACCGCAGTCCCGCGTTCAGTTATCGTTATATGACTTGCAATTTAATTATAACTTAATACAAACATTTTAATAAGCAGAATTTTTAATTACTAAGCTACCACAATTGTACTTAGTATTAAATAAGATAAATTTCGCTTTTAACTCAGAGCAATTAGTCATTTACAAACTGAACCAAGATTTTCTTCGAGTCAGAAATTTCCGTTTCTCAGAGAACTTACAGCGCTGTTTTATTCCTTGCTCCCCAAATGCCGGATTATAATTTCGTTTATTTTAATTACTCACGCAAGGAGATCATCAACGTCCCGGCCGTCATCAACGTCCCGGCCGTCATCAACGTCCCGGCCGTCATCAACGTCCCGGCCGTCATCAACGTCCCGGCCGTCATCAACGTCCTGATCGTCATCAACGTCCCGGCCGTCATCAACGTCCCGGCCGTCATCAACGTCCCGGCCGTCATCAACGTCCTGACCGTCATCAACGTCCCGGCCGTCATCAACGTCCCGACCGTCATCAACGTCCCGACCGTCATCAACGTCCCGACCGTCATCAACGTCCCGGCCGTCATCAATGTCCCAACCGTCATCAACGTCCCGACCGTCATCAAAGTCCCGACCGTCATCAACGTCCCGGCCGTCATCAACGTCCCGACCGTCATCAGCATCAGCGCGGCTAATATTTTTCTTCATCGCCCAGCGACGCGAGGGAAGGAACGAGGGACGCCCGAGGGAGCGATTGCCCTCTGCCAATATTCCTATTAAACATTCCGACGGATTAATGTTAGGCAGAATAGGAGAGCAGCCGCCGATAAGATAAATAAAATTCACATGAAGTGTTGTAGTTCAATTCAATGGAATACGAAATTAATGAAACGAGTCTTGGGAGCAATTGGTTAATTGTTGAGGTTGTTAGCCGTGTGTATCGAGTTCCATTAGATTTTGGATCTCAAATTTTTACTTCAAATACTCAAATTGGAAATCTCATTAATCGATTTGAAATAGTCTGATTGCCATTTTCTGACGAAACTTTATTAAATTAAATCAGGTTTTCAAGAGCGCAGCCATTGAGTCGGCAGCTTTAATGCATGGAATTTACGTAGAGAATTTACGTGCATGGAAGCGTTAGTTTTTTATTCAGCAGATCTCATAAATATCGCCGGAGGTAAAAATAATGTAATTCTTTGTCTCAATCCTGCCGGATTGTTCATTATGTTCGCATATTTACACGTAAGGTATGTAGTTGTGTCTTTTCATCGTGTGTGTGTGTGCATAAATTATTATCAATTAAATTTCAGGAACAGGTAAAGTATTGCCGAGAACAGATAATAAAAACCGTAGATTGATAGAAAATATTTATCTCTAAAAATTTCAAGTTACGTTATTTTCGAAAGGGCAAAATTTATTAATTTGGAAGCAAGCAATTTTTTCATCATCGTTCAGTGCCACTGCACTTGATTGTGGTTAGCCTTTTTATACATTTTCAGTGGCATTTTAAAAATTTCCTCTTAGACGAGAGTAAATTATCCAATGCAGAAAAAACAAGAATGATTTCTTCCCACTAGAAATTACAATATACAGTGTACTACACATTACATAGTCAATGCTATACACATTCATATATATATAATTCCATACATGTGCTAAGGGTAATATATTACGGCTTGCTTTTCCCCATACCTGACAGCACGCAAAATAGAGATGACGCGATCATTGTTTTCACTGAGCTACTTTATCTTGGCTCATTACTCAGCCATCATACCGAGCTAAGGAACTTTCGGCCAAGTTTTGTGTTCTGTTACAGCCAGGCTGGAAGTTCCGATCTTTCACCGACAAGCTAAGCTTGACTTTATCGATAGCCCACCAATATATAGAATATGTAGTCAGAGTTTGGATCCCAACTCAGCAATGTTGTTAGGAGGGAATTTCCGTGACTGCTATTACGTCTTGTGCGGTACGGAACCGAGAAATCTGGCCATTTCTAGCAAGCAAGATCCCAAGTTGTAGCTATCTCAAGGGTAATCAAATGGTCACGAGACGTTCACGTTTAATTGTTGGTTCACCAAGTGTCGGCAATTGAGCAAAATTTAATTTCTCTGCATTGTTTCGCATTAATTACTCTGCTATATCTGTTTTCAAAAAATTCTTACAGGGTTTATTGCAAGATACATATTCATTTTTGTAATTCTAATTCAACTCTAGAACCAAAATGAGACTGCAAAGCGTGGTCTGATAAAGGGTCTATTGTCGATGGGCAAGAAAACAACGATGCTGTACAATATCCATTGTCTCGATAACGATTTTTCAGGAGAGTCTCATTATAAAGGGAGCACAATTCTTTGTGAAGCCGATCCTACATCACTTGCTGTCACCATCGCTTGCAAAATGTTAACGGTGAAAGAGATTGCTTTCTTATTTTTGGCCGAAAGCCAATTATTTCATGAGATATTTATCAGTATTTTCATGGCAAGAGGAACGTAAAATACAAATAAACATCAAGTGCTGGTTAATTGTTATCGTAAAAATGATCATCTGATCACAAAATCAATACGTGGTATTCAATGCATTAATTAATAAGTAATTAGTTAATTAGGGAGTATGTAACGGAGATGTTTAAAACTTAATATTACCAACACAAATCCGATGAACCCGAAAAATTCGTTATCATTTTGTTCTTCTAGATGAGTTATAGAATACGATCGTAATTGAATAAATCGTGTCGTTAAAAACATAATTATATACGAGATTCGCGATCAATTTGTAAGCGAGTAATATTTACGATTACTAGAATCTTTAAGCAAATTTCTTCCGGGACTTCCATTAAAGTTTCGATATTAGTAAGCAATGTCGCTAGCCGGACACAATATTTATAACGATGAGTCATTGTTTCCGAAGAAATAACTAGCTTCCAGCCTGACGAATGTATTAGTTTATTAATAACAAGTGTAACTACTTTATTAAGCGTGCATTGTGGCATCGACTGTAAACTAAATCGCAGCTCAAATGTATTTCCCTCATAAAGCCGCTGAGCTACAGACGTTGCATTGCGACGCAGAATGCAACCGATCTTCTCCAAGAACACCATAACATACAGACAACATAAGTGCAACGTAACATAAACACAACATAAGTGCAACATAACATAAACACAACATAAGTGCAATATAACATAAACACAACATAAGTGCAACGTAACATAAACACAACATAAGTGCAACGTAACATAAACACAACATAAGTGCAACGTAACATAAACACAACATAAGTGCAATATAACATAAACACAACATAAGTGCAACATAACATACACACAACATAGGACAACATAACATACACACAACATAAGGACAACATAACATACACACAACATAAGGACAACTTAACATACACACAACATAAGTGCAACATAACATACACACAACATAGGACAACATAACATACACACAACATAAGGACAACATAACATACACACAACATAAGGACAACTTAACATACACACAACATAAGGACAACATAACATACACACAACATAGGACAACATAACATACACACAACATAAGGACAACATAACATACACAAAAGATTCCTTCTATGTTCGGATTGGCTCGCCTGAGCGCGAGCGACTGATCCCGACAATTTTTTGCTCGGAACACTCGAAATTTCGCTGAGATTGACTTGTATTTTCTCAGATGAGAATATCCCTGCCTGAGGGAGCTGAGAGAAAGCAGTCACCGTGGCGGAAGACATGCGCGATCTTCACGGTTGAGCGCGCCTCAACCCTTACAATGCGAGGGCGAAGGGGATAAACATGTTCCAGGACCTGAACTTCGGGTAATTGATGTAATTTTATTTCAAATATAGGCTACGTTTATCTGCTTTATCGCTTTTTTCAATTTTAGCAATGACCCAAAATTAGAAAATTATCATGGACATATTTCATTAGATTAAACTGCCTGTTTTAGAACCACAACAGCTTTGTTATGCTTGCGCGAGCAAAGGGTTGGAGAGAACAGCAAGCAGCAGAAATGCGACACGGTATGATTAACGACAGGCCACATTTTGAGGAAGGATATCACACAAGTATCAATCTTGGAGTGAGTTAATTGTTAGCGGATTACCAATCTTATTATTCACCTATTAACAATCATAAAGTGAATAGAGTGCTTTACAGAAATTGATTTATAAGTTGTTTTTAAGCATATCAGATAAATCACCACCAATGCCCCCGATCGTTACAATGCTTCCATGAAACCAGCAAGATTTTTGAGGAAGCTTTATCATAAATAAACAAATAAAAAGAGCCTGTGAATCACGCGACGACACTCGCACCATGATCGTTCGCAGGCAAAATACAAGCCTCAGAGCATAGCCTTCGCTCTATATTTACCCACATGAAGTTCCTAGAAGACGATAAGAAAGTTGAAAGCAACTCAACACGTTGACGTCGTGCCTACGAGTTGTAGGCGAAGGTTCACAAACTTGAGATCAAGCCCGATGATTGCAGAAATTGTCTCAGCAACCTCCAAAAATGTATTACAGAAGTCAAAGCGCTCAATTCTGAATGGAAACGAAGTGGTATAAATGTTTAAAAGCCAATGCATTGCATTATAATTACAATACATTGGTCTATAGGATATTTAGGATATTAATTAATTAATTATGATATTAGGTATTTTTTATTTAAGTTTTAAGTCACATCAGGCGTGACCTCGCTCTGCCATGCTTTGTATGAGTCGTTGTGCTATGAGATTTCACAGCAGAGAAATGCTCCAAAATTCCTCTGTGAAATAGAAAATTTTTATGATAATTTAAGTCCAAAGTTAATATAACTGTAAAAGTTCAGCGCAAAATTTCTATATGCGATAGATAAACTTAAGAGGGAACATACGGTTCATGCGTTTTGTAGTTATAATTTGTTTTATTCAATAGTTTTTATCGTTTATAAAGTTTTGTTCGTTTTCGCTTTCAATATTTACTGGATTTTTGCCATATGATTTTGTTATACCTTTAGGGTTACAATTTTTTCATTTTTATTTAATAATTTAAAGGCTTGGACACCATGCATGAGGTAGCCTGTGATTCAGGTCTCACATCTGAATTATATTTATAATTACATTATATAATTGTGCCAAACAATTTTGAAATAAGGATGAATTAGATGGGATGCAGTACTTTGTTTTAATAAATACTGGACTATATAGACTCCATCAAACAATAAGAGGAATACTGCCACTGTGTTCCATAATGATGGATAAAGAACTTTCTGCACTAATTAGTACGCAATTCTTAATATGAAGTTCGTCGTCGACGTGTCGGCGTAGGTGATTTTATACTACTACATATCTCTATTCATACTATACCAAACACATTTATACCACTATTTCCCAATTTTACCACTACATATTAGCATTCATAACATACACATTTATACCACTACATCCAATCGATACCACTACGTGTAAGCATTCATAATGAGGAAGTATACAATTAATCCTAATTAATTTATCCTGCAGTGCAATTATTCAAGCGTCGTAAGGAGAACTGAACTCGTCATCAGTTTGATGGCAAGCAACTGGATCAGTTTGGTCCCTGACCAATTGAGATCAACTGAAGATTTTTATTTTCACTTCAAATACCAAAAAGAAATATATCAACTGAGAACGAAAGTCTTGTCCAAGATGCACCGCTTAACA